GAGAAGGCTGACCATCCGTGGGAAATATCAGCAGGGCGGTCTCTCCCCCGCACCACCAGAGTAGAAACTCGGCCTCTGAATTTAGTCGGACTAATTCCTTTGGTTAAAAATCGGAGTACAACAAACTCGGGTCGCTCTCTTTTGGCTTTTGCTTTTTACTATGCACATCCCTTTTCCTTTGTACAGGAGCCCTGGTGGCATAGTGGCTACGCGTTGGACTGCTAACTGCAATATCACCAATTCGAAATCACGAGCTGCTTCGCGGGAGAGAGGCGGCTCCCTTCTCCCAAGTAGGCTCCCAAACCCACTGGGGCCGCTCTACCCTTGCCTGTCAGGTGGCTGAGTCGGAAACTACTTCATAGCAGTGAGTTTGGATCGGAGTCCTTGAGTCAACCCAGTAGCGGTGAGTTTGGTTTGGAGTTGTTCCGTCTTCTGGGTGATTGTTTCAAACGGTCTGTTGCGGCTCCTCTTATTGTCCCACCTGGAGCACTCTGTGTAGTGCCCAGAAGGGGGGACCACGTTCAGCAATAGCAGGGAGTAAATCGAAGTGGTCTGCATTGTTTGTAGATCTAACACACCTCGTAAACCAACCGGTATTTTTTGTGGAGGCGCCCTGGTGGCACAGTGACGTGCTCAGACAGCTGCTAATGAGGACTGATTGCAAACACCTCCCCCCCACCAGCCCGTCTGCTGCAGATTGACAGCCTTGGGGGCTCAGACATGTCTGTCTTTAGCAGCTATGAATTTTTACCCACGGAATCACTATACATTGTAATTCGTACTCCAGTAGGAAGACCAGGAGCCCTGGTAGCATGGTGGGCTGAGTCAGGCTGCTAACCACTAGGTCAGCAGTCCCAAACCACCAGCTGTTCCTCAGGAGAAAGATGACTTTCAACTCCAGTGAAGATGTAGCTTTGGACACTCACAGGGGTGGCTCTTTCCTGCCCTATGGGGCCATCGCTGAGTTGGAATCAACTATGTGGCACTGAGCTTATCTTCAACCCACTGTTGCCATAACTCTCAAGGTAGACGGGTCAAGAAAGGAAGAAAAAAAGAAGAGATACAGCCAAGAGGCCCAGAGACTGTCCGTAGGGACTGAGATGGTGTAAGTCCACCAGCGGGATCCTCTGAAGAAAGGCCTGACCACCTCCTTCAGAGAAAGCGTACCTCTCCTCAGTCACCCCCTCCCCACACTGTCAGCCAGAACTGGCTCCGGGGCTTGCTTTGGTTTCTGTTGTTCGGTCCACAGGGACCGCACATGGCCGGTCTAGAGTCCAATACTGACCAGCACAATGTACTGAGAGACACAAGGGATGTAGACGCTTCAAAATTCAACTCGATTTTCAGTAGTTTGATAAATTTATTTTAAAAAATAACAATTGCAATGACATCAATGATTGATCACCTGTACTGCCCCTACTCCTGGGGGAAAAGCCTTCTGTAGAGTTGAGTCTCAAAAATAAATCAAGACATTATTATCAGGCACCCGAGAGCGAGAAGATGCTGTTGGTCCAGTGGTACAGACACTGATGTGTTCAATGTACCAGTACAATGAAAAAGCTCAACATCGACAAGTATCCGGAAAAGAGCGCACTAAGGAGGTGAAATACTATGCATTACACCAATTATTCATTTAACCATCCACTCTGTGTTCAAGTAGTAATCACTAGGGTCACGAGGACAACGATGTAAAAACTTCTAATAACAAAAGAAAAAACCCCAAACTTCATACCTCCTCACCCAAGCTGTAGGCTAAAATGACCACAATAAAGGGTCACACGTTCTCAGAAATGCAGTGATGGAATAACAATTTAGATTAAAAAAAAAACAAACCCAAAACCTAAACAAACTCAATCACCCATTTCCCTCCCCATGCAAAAAAATAAAAATCAAAATTTAAGAATATGAGGTTGAAAAAAAAATGAGGTTGATATTATGTACAAACTTACAGAAACAAATAAATAGCATTTTTGAATGGTTCTTGGTTTAAGCACTAGAGATTACATCTGAGGAATTTCTTTCTGAAAACCCTGCATTTTAAAGATTCCTAACTAATGAAGGAATGTTAATTCCTCATTGTTCTTAGAAATAGAGCATCAAATCAACAAATAGGGGTATGTGTGTGTGGATACTGAATAAAGGTAATATTTGCAACCTATGTTTAGAGTCACAAGTTTCTAGTGGAGTCTACCAAAGGGTCAGCCCTCCTGACATGTAGGAAGCCAGGACAAATGACTAGATTCCAGGGACTAGGAAGAGTTCCCCCCTTCCTATTCCTTTGCATAGCTCTGTCATCTCTATTTGTACCATTACGATCCTCTCCTTTGTGACATCTCCTTTGGGGCGCTCACTCCTTTCCCTCTCAATACAGTTAGAGTGAAGTTAAAAACAACAGCGTTTCCTTGCTTCTAGAGCAGTCGGGAGCTCTTCTGGAGGCTCATCTCCATCCGCCCAGGGGTCACCCTTTTAAAGAGCTAGGTTGCGGAGTCACAACCCACTCCTGGAACTGTGGCTCCATTCTTGACCCGCCAGGCATTTCTGTCTCCCGTCTAGGTGTTGCTCCTAGTGCAGAGGCAGCAGTGTGGACACCTTTCTGCACCAGGGCTGTGGAGAGAAGGGAAAAGGGACGTGGGAGACTCAGCACTATGGGAAGAATGAGACAACAGTTTGCTCTTGGGGGCCTGCTCAGCACGGGCTGGACTGAAGCCAAGATCCACCTTGAGCACCGGGCCAGCTTGCCGGAACAGGGCTCTGCAGAGACTGTCAAGGACTGCGTTTCAGACCGCACCCTTCCCATGCTGACGCTCGGTGTGAATGAAAACGGTTCTCTTCATCTGAATGACTCACCCTGGACACTGGCTGGAAGACCTGGCGCAGCATGCTATGTGACAACACATGCACGAGTAGACAGACAGACGACTTTCTTTCTCAGAGGCGGAATACACACCAGCCCTTCTACTTCCCAAATGCTATGCCCACACCCAGGATCGGAAATCTCTAGTTCTGTTGTGGGGAAACTACTACACATGTCCTCAAGCACTCCAGCATAGCAACTGCGTCCTCATTTTGTTTCCCACGTCAAGGTCCGTCCAATACCCTCTAAATAGGTCTGAGAGTTGCTGTAGTGTAGAAATATGATCCAGAGGGCCTCTCAGCAGGACACAACTTGTCAAAGTGAAAGAGATTCCACGATGGCGTTTTTAAGTGCTTAAAACTCTTTTCTTGGCTTGTGTCCAAAACCACCAATCTGCCATTTGGGGAGACGGAGATTCTTATTATTACCACAGAGTAGATGAAGGTACCTCAGAGAATTTATTTTCATATCAAAGGATGGAACTTCCTAGCTTGGAAGCCAGTTCTGTCCATTCTGTCAGATGGAAATCACCACCAGAGGGAGGGATGTGTTCTAGTCAGGGTCCTGTGGGGGTTGGGGAGGAGTATGGCTGTGGCCTCCCGGCTGCAGTTAGGTTAACAAAGCTGTTCTCCTCTGCTGAGATAGCTGGCTGGCTTTGTCAGTCACGGTAAGTGCTGTATTTGGTGCTGCTGAGCTGGCAGGGATCCCTTGCATCATCGAAATCCATGAAATGTCAATGTCATCAACAGCCTGAAACCAGTCCTGACTGAAGGGTGAGACAAAGGCTTTCAACTTCAATTTGCCAGACAAAGCGGCAAGTATAATACTGAGCCACTTATTAAAAGCGAAGTGGTTTCTGCCCTGCCGAACAGGACAGAATATGATCATGAGTGCCCTCAACTCTCTGAAGAGTTGACCAATTTCCTGGATCAGTGGCAAGGAACATGGCCTTGATAAGCTTCTTCATGTGACCAAAGGTTAGGACACTCGGATGATCTGTGTCATTGCTTCTTCATCTGCCTGGTTAGGATCCTAGAGACAAAGAAAATACAATAATGACAATTATTTGCAAAAGAAAGCATCAGGGAACTACTGACTCCATGTCTGCATACATGGCTTAAAACGGCTTCAGCCCCATGAGGAGAGAAGTGACCTTCAAAGGATTCAATTCTTAGAAGTTCAGTATCAGACACTGAAGATTTCCTCTTGCCTATGCAGAATAGAAAACGTACGAGGGCAGAGGGAAGGCCAGGAGCAGGAGGAAATGGAGCTGGAGGTGACAGACACTAGACACACAGGTTCTTTGGCAGTCGTGGTACACATGCCGGACAAATGAGAAGGTGAAGGGCCGTAAGGGAGTGGAATGAGTTGTGCATGTAAAGGTCACATTACAGTATGGAAAGTGGACCAGAAGGAGAGGAGAGTAGACAGGAGGCTGGTTAGGCATGTTACATTCATCTAACACCAGACTGCTAGCAATGGGCAATAAAGAAGAGACCCATCCAAGTTATAGTTTAGAGGTAAAGCCAAGAAGACGTCTTCATGTGGACAGTTCTAGCTTTACGAAGTGGGTCCATGTCCAGATCTCTTGTTGAAGTGAGTAAAGACAGGTTTACAAAACAAACCCCAGGGTCCTATTTTAGATTATCTTGGCTCAGAGCTGCCTACAAGGTGAAACAATTAGATTTTAAGAGTGAGTGTAGTACAGTCTAGTAAAACCACATGAATCCTGGAATTAAATTGCTTCTGCTGTACCACTGATTAAGCATTTTGCCTTAGACAAATTAACTTAACCCCTCCTAGACCTCCGATTCTGTATTTGTAATAAGGAACAAAGACCACTGGATTAAAGGCCTTTAGTAGTGTGTTTAAGACCAAAAGGAAGCTAACAGACAATGTCATACCCACTTCAGCGAACTTGAGGAACACCAATGTTCCTCAGCGTGCTCAACAGCAAGATGCTGCCGCCACAGTGTTCAAGACAAGAAAAGCATGCCGTGAAAATGGCAAGAGGTGTATGGCTCTTACCTGCATATGAGGGCTATCTTTTTCCTTTGGAGAGAAAAACCGCCCACCTTCACCACGCTTCCGGGCCATAGCATGGCGGTGCCGAGACTCATGCAGGTATTTCTAAAACAAGTGAAGGGCATCTTAAGTACTTGCCAGACTAGCAGAGTTATTTACTGCCCAATCTCAGCCTCAAAAGTGTAGGTAGCTAAGTAATAGTTAAGAATTAAGTAATGGAACTATGGAATGTTATATCTAAGATATCCCACCCAATAAAAGGATTTTAAAAATAAAAGAATTCTGGAAAAAAGGATTTGGAGAAAGCACTAACAATACAAGGAAGCTTCCAAATGTCCTTGGAAAAACTCATTATCTTTTAACTTTAATTTTTCAATGAACTTGTGGAAACCTCTTCATGTCCCTGTGTAGCTTCCCTAAGAAAATAAATGTTAGATGAATAAGAAAAATGTTTCCCTAAAGCACAACATTAACCATTCCATAATTCCCAATATGCACCTTCCTTTTCTGCTTTAAACTGGATTGATTCTGATTCAGACCTTTAACAGTACCTTTGGGTGTCCAGGGAGGCACCTATCTTTCTCCCATGGTGCAGAGGTGGGTGCCTACCAGACTGTGGTAGTAACCTAATCTACGGTCAACTTGAGTATGAGATAGAGGCTAGCTTGCCAATCAGGTCACAGCTTGATGACCTCATTTGGAGGCGCTAAGGAGATAAATAGCTCACTGGAGAGCCATATATACTCTCTCCCTTCAAGACATTCCTGTTGACAAGCCACATGGAACTACGCTGATGGAGCCAGAGGAGCCATGTGGAAACCCACACCAGCACTGAGATGCTTCCACCGCCACTGGATCCACTAGACCTTCCACCTACTGGCCTGTGATCTTCCTGCATTCAATGTCATTGCATGTGTTGCGTGAGTCTGAAGAGGCCAATATTGGACTTGATCTGGACGGGGCTGGGATGTTTTCTTAATATACAATTACTCTTGGGATGTTTTCTTAATATACAATTACTCTTTATATAAAACTCTTATACACATATGAGTGTCTTATCTATTTGTTTCTCTAGTCAACCCAAACTAACACAGAGACTATCAGGGCTCCTTTCTGGTTTAAGAGCAGAACAAAATTTGTGTTGGGCTGCTAATAAAAGGATTGCATTTCCTAGCCTTACTTGGGGCTAACTTTTGGCTAACGAGATAAAAGTTATTCGGTGGTATATGGAATTTCCTGAAAGTTACTTTGCAAGAGAAGGTACATTTTTCATGCCCTTTTAAAGGCAGCCATGTGTGTTATAAAAAGCCTAGGACGAATATGAGAGCACTGACAAGGAGAATGGTTCTTCAGACAAATGTTACCAACCTGGAAACAATTTACCTCTGAACTTCTTTTATGTCACTTTTATTTTGTTTTGTTAGCATCATTGTAGCTGCATTAGGAACAACAAATGCTAGCTTGTACAAAAGGTTAACAACCATTGAACTTCAATTATCTGCAAAGTACTTAAGGACACCAAGCATACAAAAATTAACTTCCAGAGTGGCCCCTTGCTGCTGCCTTCCACAGCCTCCAATATTATACATACCCTCCTTTCCTTTGGAATTTTCCCTTCTGCCTCGAGTTTAGCCCTGGCTTGCCGTCTCTTAAGAATTCGGTGGTACTGTTTGGCGTTCACATAGAGAGGCTCTTCCTCCAGCATCTCTGCTCCAGGGAGAGGGATTCGTTGGATGGCGGGCACAGATCCAGCTCCGGGCACCATCTGTATGGAGGGGAACCCAGGGCTTATTAGTGGCACAGAGTAAGGATGTTAGCTTCTTGGTCCATATTGTCTTTTTTCTCATGAATGCTATGAGCAGCAGCTTTGATTGAGTGCTTGTTCAAATGTAGACCCTGGGCCATGTTTACACTAACGTCTATACTCTTCACAGACAGCCCACTGATTCGGCCCACCCTGAACAGACATAACCCAGGCTTAAATCACATACACCATGGCTGCAATTCCTAGGAATGACTGCTATTAACTAATGGCAGGAAGAGTAGTGATAAGATTTTACCCACTGCCTTCAAATCTCTGGCAGCACTTTCAGGTAAACATTCAACTGCTAACTACAAGGCTGATATCTCAAACCCACCAGCCGCTCCAACAGAGAATGTTGCAATCTGCGCCTGCCAAGATTGGCTGCCCTGGAAACTGTCTAGGATCACCATGAGTCAAATCGACTTCAGGGTAGTAAGTTGGGTTTGAATGAATTTAGATGCGTAGGTGCTCACAGGCAGAGTAGAATTACCCCACAGCATTTCTGAGGCTGAAATCTTTATGGAAGCAGGCTGCCAATGCTTTCTCAAATGGAGGAGTTTGTGGATTTGAACTGCCAACATGAAAGTAGCCCAAAGGAAAACAGATACAGATTGATTAAGTGATACTAGATACACCCATGTAAATGTAATTGCTTCATATAACTGAATCCTAATTTCTCTAAACAAATAAACCTTTGTACTATACGGACTGGGGGGAAGCAACAGGTTCCCATGTATGCTTTTCTCAACTACAATCACCTGAGAATATGTCCTTAATTTCTCCATTTTAGGCCCCGTGGACCAATTTCAACATAAGATGATCTGGCTTTCACCCATAACACCCCTATGCCCCTGCCTCTCCCTTTATCTGGCTTCTCAATATACAACATAGTATTTGATGTCTCTATTGGTTAAAACAGTCTTTCTTTTTTTTAAAATTTATTTTATCATCAACATTTTTATTCATGATCCATGGTTGACAGCTTGCTTTTTTACTTTTTCTGTTTAACTTTTTTTAATGAAAGTGTACTACACTTGAATATAATTTCATTTTAGTTTTTAACTCTTTGGAGAATTCCTATGAATAACAATACAGCTGCCTTGGAGTTGATTCTGATGCACCGAGACCCGTGGGTTATGGAGAAGCACTGCTTTGTGAGCTCGTTGTAAGTGTGTAACCCTAGATCGTGTCGACTGTGTCACCACCCCACACAGCTCTGGGTCTTGAGGCTCCATGGTGACCTGCTGCTGCGCTGCTGGCCTCTACTACACCTTGACATCTCCTCTTCCTGCTGGCGCTGCCGCCTCACCTTTCCGTGTCTGCTGCTCTCGGGCCAACTCTGCTCATCTTGCCTGTCGGCAAACTCTGCTTCCTTGACCTTCAGCCAGCTGCCAGCGTGAGTAGGACGGACCGTCAGTGTATTGACTGTCCCGAAAATGAGCTGGGCTGAGCACTCTGTACTAAAGCAGTCTTTCTAATTCTTACTTTTCTTATTTTATTCACTGTGAGCACTATCTTTCTACTTCCCCAAAATCAGCACCACACCTCCCCTCATTATTTTTAAGATTGCAAAAAGCCAGGTGTTTACATCCATTTACTCACTGCTTTTATCTCCAGAACCTAGAATAGTCCCTGGCAGATAGTGGTAAGTGCCCAGGATAAATTATGGTCCATTGCAGTATTTATTTAAAAAGAGATCTTTGTAACTGC